TTTGTCTCCTCTTGAAGGGCCAGTCAGGAAACTGCCTGCAGTTGAAGACACTACCATGTATTTGACTCTGGCTAGTTTCTTGCCCAGCCTTTTAGGATGGGGCAATTCAAATAACAACAACAACGACGACGACGACGACGATGTAGCACATGAGCAATAATCAGTAGTTTTTAAAAAATCCACTCTGTCCAGTAGGGGAAGTGACTAATTTGCCAATATCCTGAGGTGGCTCACTTATAAGCCCTTCACAATGTTGGCAAATTCAACCTGGAAGGCTTGCTTTGGATCAGTTCAAGAAATCACAAGGGCAGGAACTGATCCAATTCACACCAATCCTACCAGCACCAAAAATGAAGAAGCCCATTGACAGGAGTCAGAAAAGTGCAGATAGGAATGTTCTGGTAGCAAATCTGTCATCTCAGTGATGTCTTTAAAAGTGCACCAGCTCATCCTGATGGAGCTCTAAACAATGATTTAAATGACTATGCAGACTGCTTCATATTCATACAAACATGATTTCCTTTCTGTTCCTCAGATCTCTGGACTGCTCCTGAACACCTTCGCCATGGTGGTGTATCTCAGAAAGGTGATGTCTACAGCTATGGCATTGTAGCACAAGAGATAATCCTGCGTAGAGAGACCTTCTACACTAACAATTGTCGGGACCATAAAGGTAACCATTGTGCATCAGGACTACATGAAGCCATTTATTTATTTTTTTGAAGAGATTTCACACTCCGTCCTCCAAAAGATACCAAGGGTCATTTCCAAAAAAGGTTCTGAGCAAAGTGGTTGGCAGCCAAGGGACATGTTGTGGGTGACCTGACCAAGCTTGTACCACAGCATGAGGTCTATTGCTGACTCCCAGAGCTCCTTAAATGTTTCCGTTTTCTTCTCATTCACAAGCATGCAGACCATGTTGAGGAGGAGAAGAAGGAAAAACTGGTTCCACTTGCTTTGCTTTCTCGATAAACTGGTGTACATTAGGCCTCAGAGGAAGAGGGGAAAGGAATGGGTATTCCAGTAACAAGGAGGAGAGAGCCTATCGATCTCATCTTAGCCAGGAACCTCTCAAAAGCTGAAACAGACTCTCCTGAGCAATTTAATAATGTTCACAGTACAAAGAGCAGTGTGTTCATGCTTAGTCCTTGCCATCTGGCATGGTTTCTCATCCAGATAAGCCTTCCACTGTAATATAATTTGCATGTTGAACTTTGAGCTATATAGCTTTTCATGTAATTTAGTGTGACAAAATGTTTTACATCTATCTTGCTAGACTTTGGAAAACATGTCTAATATATGTAAAATGTTTGAGAGCAACTATTACACAATGTGAGATTTTACCCTCCAATTCTAATATGAATTACAGATTACTGCATGTCAAGAGTATAATATTATCATATACTGTACCAAAGGTGAAACCAATTATTTCTTTTTATAATGTCCTGGATGAGGGAACAAGAAAATATTATTGGGTCTATACAATAATACTTCTAAAGTATTTTGTAAATTAACACCACAATCTGAACTCACCTTCTCAGTAGGGTTGGTACTAAGTTTGATGGGTTCCAAGTAGGATCCTCCAGCCCCCCAATGCCTGCAGATAGAACTTTATCCAAATGTCTACCTGCCAGAAAAAGACCAGGGGACCTTCCCTTTCTCTGTGTTTATGTGCACACAAATATGTCTGTGTTTCTTCCCTGCACCCCCTGTGCTCCCTCTTTCTCTCCTCATTCCCATCGCCCTTGCCTCACTTTCTCTCTGTCCACTTTCTCCTTCTCTGTTGTCAAATGTAGTGCTGCATCCATTCAGTGCTGTTTTCCACTCTCTTCCTTTGGCCCCTGATGACTCTGGGCTAAAAAAACAAAACAAAAAACATATTCCTTCTTCCTCTTCTCCCTACCCGCTGTCCCTGATGTCTGCTTCCTAATGCACCCAAAGCCAAAATGGCATTGTTTTGTTGTGTGTGTGTTTTTTGACCCAGAGATTTGGAGTGAAAAGTAAGAAGGATATGAAACATTTTGAAGATTAGAAATTATATGCTGAGAGGAGCCTATTTGGGGCAGGGGTGGGTACCAAAATATTTTTAGAGAAGCTGCGGAGCAATACTGTATTTAATCCTATGATGAGTGGCTTGATACAGGAGGAGGAGGAAGGGATTTTGTTACAATTTGTTACAAATCACATGATTTGGAGAGAGAAGAAGAAATAAAGTAACAATTTATTTATTTTAACAGTTTACTTATTGCTCAGGCTCTTTAAAGAAAGGCCCTGAGCAACCAGTCATGTCGTATCTTCCATTTTGTTCCAACTGAAAGGGGAAAAAAAGAGGTGGGGAGGCTCTCTTAGATTTTCTCTCTGTATCTTCTTCCTTGACCTTCCCCCCTCCCGCTCTTGCCCAAGGTCACCTTATTAGGGCTTTGTCATCTCTCTCTCTCTCTCTCTCTCTCTCTCTCTGTACACGTGTGGCTTTTCTACTCCCCCCCCCGCCCCAATCAGTGCAGAGCTTCCATTGGTCCTGCGTTGTTAAACCCAATCACTGCAGAGCTTCCATTGGGCCTGAGTTGTTAGACCCGGATGAAAAAATAAAAAATACGTGTTGTGAACTCTTTTAAGGAGATAATTAATCATTCCCAAGTGCATGACACCAGCCATTTCAGCAGCAGAAACTGCCAGAGGCATGGTACAGAAAAGTCAGAATCAACCTGGAACCACCTTCCTGTGTAGTCAAGCCCTTGGTCAGGTTCTTACATCCTGTGGATGCCACAAAATAGGAAGAAAAGTTAACCATTTCAAAAGAGTAAGTGGTTATATGTTAAATTGCTGTGTCATTGCTTAAAACATGTTTTTACCTTTTTTCAGTTATGAAAAGGATAGGATATTTTAGCTCCAAAAGGATGCTAAGTGCTTTGTACTTGTACAAGCCAAGATATATTTATCCTAAATACCCTATGAAATCTGTAATAAGATTTCCCAACTTTTTAATTTTTTTTAAGAAATGCATCAGAGAGGCTCCAGATTTGATCAGAGAGAACAGTAGTGCTATTTTCCCAATTTGAACCATCCTCTTTCCTTATCACCATCAATTGCTGTTAAATAAATTATATAAACACAAAACATAAATTAACATGTGAACTTTAGATAAGAAAAGGAGTATCAAATACTGATGGTTTTAGTGAAATACAGAAACCATTTTTGTTACACGCACTTGAGAAAGGCAAAGGTTTCACTCCCAATGAGGACTAATTTCTGGAGAAAAACAGGGTGATATAATATTAAAAATAAGCAAGTAATATAATAATGTAAATTGTTAAGGGAAAACAATAAATTGTTCTGAGGGGAGCACAAGGTTATACTGTGTGTGGGGTTATGTTTCTGTATGATATGTCAGTTATATTTTGTTGATTTTGTTTGAAAAAAACAAGAAACACAAAGAAGCACACAAAAAAGCAGAAAACTCTTAAACAATTTGCAACAGTTCTTCACAATGTCCTCACTGAAAATGCTCCAATGCAATGTTGCGATCAAGCATCCCAATGCCATACACAACAAATGCTAATGTCTTCTCCCATCTGTCAGTCTATTAGTCTACCCCAGTGGTGTGTCTCACAAATTAAAGACAAACTCACATTGTATAGATCTTTATCACAGAATGAGCAAGTTATTCAGATCTAAGACTTAAGTGGGAGCCCAAGCCTGCTTAGAATACATTGAAACATTTAGTTTGCTTAGGAAATAGTGCATCTTGTCTGCATGTGCTGAATTGTTTGAGTTCTACCTTTCTCTCTTGCTTTAGAGAAACTTTACAGAGTAGAAAGCAGCAAAGGAACCCGACCATTCCGGCCAGATCTCTTATTGGAGGAGACAGAGGGAGAGAAAGAACAAGAAGTAAGATCTTATTGGGGAAAAAATTCATTGTCAGCAGACAGAGGTAGTATTTATGCACAGACCCAGACTAACCAGTTTGACACAGACAAGTTGAATCTACATTTGCAGCATCTGCTCTCATTAGTGAGTTTAATGCAATAAAGTGAAATGCAGTAAAATGCACTTCTGTAGTTTGTAATCTACCTTCTAATTATTGCGACAGTTTTGGGTGGGTGTCATTTGATATCTAGGGATGGGAGGGTGTAGGAAGAGCTTCAAATGATAAAACAGCATAGAAATTAGTATTTCATTTTAATAAATAGTTTAATAAATAGCATAACATCTGTATGATCAAAATCCTTTTGCACAGTTACGCAAAAGGTGCAATGTTTAGTGGCAAATTGTCATAAGTTAAAAAATCTCTGCAGGCATTATCTATTGCATACAGATAGTGCCTATGGAGATTTCTTTACTGCAATTTTCTGCTAAAGGCACACCTTTTATGTAACAGCACAACAGAATTTTGGCCAATAAGTTTTTACAGTCATAATAAAAAAGACACTAACTTTTTATGAACAAGGTAATGAAACTATATATATATAAATAAGACACTACAAATGGATAAGAAAATTCTGGGGAAATTACTGAGCTTTTAAACAGAATTTTGGGTTTTGATTCTATTCAAACAGCTATTTTGTTGAACTACCATATTTTTCTGTGTATAAAATGACACTTTTTCCTCAAATAATTAGACGAAAAATTGAGGGTGATTTTATACACGGAAGGCAGCAGCAGGAGACTGAAGCGGAGGAACAGCCATGCTGGGCCGCCTCTCGCAGCTGCCCATTGACTTCTCCTCCGCCTCCAGCAAGGGTAAAAATTAGGGGGTCATCTTATACATTGGGGAGGGATCCGTATACATGGAAATATACACTGATCTAAATTACCCCAGCTGTCCAGATGACACAAAGGTCAAAATTATATAATCTGTGATAAAGCATGGCCCACTCTCTACTTTTCAGAGTTTCTAAAACCATCTCTTGTATGTGTTTTTGTTCCCTCCACTTTTTATCAATACTGTATCAGAGTTAAGGCGGCAAGCACTTCTCTGGTCAGAGGTTTTTAGGGCTGTTCCACTCTTACAGAAACAACAAAAGTGTTTAAAGAGTTTTCTGCAAGAGTTTTAAAGGACTTGATTTCCAAAGTGAGTTGATTTCCAAAGTGGATTAACAGTGAATGTCTGCTGTTTCAGAAGATTCAGTTTTGCAGTATTTCACTTACACAATCCAAAACCCTACAAAAATCCAGCAGGCAATTTGTTTCCTCCACATTTTTAGAAGCACTATTTTTGAAGACAGATTATTTCTGAGGTGAATGAGCAGCAGATATCTGCCAGTGTCAGTTGCTTTAAATGTAGTGTAGATCTATTTAAAGCAAAGGGGCGAAAGTTCCAGGGACACTCTTGTGTCACAGGGTTTTAAAGGTTTTTACAAGCATTTTCCAAGGTTTAATAATATTTTGATCTGTTTCTTAAAGATACACTGACTTCTTAGAAAAGAAATGGGATTTTAAGAATAAAAATATAGACAGAAATGCAGTCAGTTGGCAGTAAGTTACAGCATTTGCTACTCAGTGAGGAGGAACAAATGCTCCAGCTGGATGAATCCACTGTTGAACTTTAAGACTAAGGCTCTGTGTCAGGGATGAGCACCTTGTAGCACTCCAGATGTTCTGGAGCTACATTCCTATCCTCCGGTATCATTTGCTATGGTGGCTGGGCTTGCTGGACATTGCAACCCAACAATATCTGAAAGACCACAACTTGCCAAATTGTGTTCTAAAGGTACATCACAGAGTATATGCAAAATGCAGGGTATACCAGGTTGCTATGAAGAATGTGGTGGTAGACGTATACACTACTGGTTTAGATGGACATCTAGTTCTGTACTAGTGCATTTTCCTACGTGCCCACAACCAGCAGCAACCCATCACACGCCGATAGATGGGGGCATGTATTACTGTGGATTGCAGAACTAGATTGAAAGGTAAAACCAGAAGCCCCTGAGACAGTATGACAAAAAGTGGTTTTGATGGCTTGAGAATTCATGATTTAGGTTGGATGAGTGAGGAAAGAAGATTCTGAAAATCAGGGGGAGTGTTGTTTTAATATTCCATGATGGGAAGAAAAACAGTCTGCTTTGGGATCATGCATTCTTAGGTATCTCTTCTTGTGAGGAGCTGTTGGGAAGAAGATCCAGAGAAAAGACCAGATTTTAAGAAAATAGAAACGACTCTGGCAAAGATATTTTGGTAAGGACTTGAGCTGATTGATTTATATCAAGTACTTACGCATCTTTCTGTCAAAATGGTTCTGTAATCTTTCTGGAAATTAGATGTTTTATTATCATTTGATAGGAAGAACATGCATGTCTGAGAAGAGGAGAAAATAGATTAATATAGGAGATGGAGGATATACATTACTCTGAGTTCCCTGAAAGAAAGCATTTTTTAAAAAATCATTAATTTTTGTGATAAAGGTGAAGCAATTAAGAAAGTGAAGACACCAAAGAGTAAAAATGTATTGATATGTGTTAAGGATTCAAAAATCTGGCTGACACATAAACACTACTCTACTCCAAATTATTTTGCAGAGTTTTGGATTTCTGGTAAATTTCCCTTTTTGCTACACAACAGAAGTACAGAGATCTATAGAGGAGATCACTTCAAGTTTTCCAGAGTACACCCCTTTTTCATTAATTTGCCTTTAAAGTTTCAATTACTGACTCAGACATTTGTAGGAGAAAGAATTTTAAATATTATTTACTTAACAGTTGCTTGAAATTATGGTCTTGTGGATACTGCTTTTTTTTTACTGCACACATACTAGCAACCAACCAACCAAACAGATCAACAGCAACAAACAACTGTCACCAACTGATGAAAGAGAGGGATAGAACACTCAGCAGAGATGTGGGGCACTCTTTGAATTCAAAAGCTAGAAGGAATTATTGGTTAGTGCTGGACAGATAGATAATCCCCTCAGTCCAGAAAAGTCCCTCTGAGTCATTAAAACTACAGACTTGTATATATAAACTAATACAAAATTATAAATAAAAATAAAAACTCCAACAAATTGTTCCATACATTCATTTATTTTTAGAATTAAGAAATCTAATATAGCATTTTAAAAACTCAAGAGCTTTCCTGTAAGGCACAACCACAACTTTTAAAACTTCCTTAACGTGTTACAGTTCCGATCAAGAAGGGTAAGTGATTTCTATTTTGGCCCTATGGCACCCTGTGGGTGAAGTCCAGTAGTTTTATGCCATGTAAGCCCTGATTTTGTCATCTGCTGCATCTGCAGTTCCTTAATAAAAAGTTTCCTATCCCCTCTCTGAGGCTCCCAGAATCACTTAGGGCCCCTTTTGGTTCTGGGGATGCTTTGGGAGAGGCAGGAGTCTTAAAGGTCTGAAAATCACAGCCACTGGGACAGTACCTGCAATTTCAGACCTTTAAGATTCCCCCCCACCTGCCCGCTGTCCCCAAAGTTTTTCCCAGAACCAAAGGAATCCTAAGGGACCCTGGGAACCCTGAGGGGTGTAACAGTAAGGAATTTTTAACAAAATATGGTCATGGCTGATTACAGTATCAGGCTTATATGGTGTAACTTTATATTAATGGATTTCAGTCTGTGTAGAAATAATTTTCACTCACTTATCATTTGTCCTGAAAATGCATCTTGATTGCTTCTGCTTTCACAATTATTCCAGCAACTACCATAGCCAAACTAATGAAAGCTACATGGATACCTTAATCCGACGTCTGCAGATGTATTCACGGAACCTGGAGCACTTAGTAGAAGAGAGGACGAAGCTGTACAAAGCTGAACGTGACAGAGCGGACAAGCTTAATTTCATGCTTCTCCCAGGGTGAGTGCTCTTCAGGAGGGACCATTTTGCAATTGCTGTGGAATTCATGTATGAGAATTTACTGAGGAAGAGTCTAAATAAAGTTATACATCAATTTGTGTTTGTCATTAACAATATTTGTCCCTTGAGAACCTCATTGGTGGCTACAAGCAAAAAAAATCATCCATTGTCCCAAGTAACAGAGGAGAAACTACTTTATCTAAGCAACCTGTAGAACTGGGACCTGCTTAAGATTACCTTGTCACACAAAACGAGATGTACAAGCTTCCTGTATTTCCATACATAGCATTTCTGTAAAGACAGACTGTGCTCTCTCCTGACAGCATAGACGCTAGGTTTGTATTTCTGAGGCAGAAAAAATAGGAAATATTGGTATTTTCAATACCTAGACTAGTAAGATGTATTGCCTTGACTTGTTGGTTTGGACTCTGGCACTTGCGACTTGTCCTGATGTTATTAGTTCATTTGTATTGAGAATAGATTTTTCTGGAGCAGCAAATGCACTTTAGTCTTTACAGGAACACTAGCATTAGTTCTAATCCAGAATCTGTTGTGCACTGAAGTAAAAATACCATGGAAGTGCAAGGAGGAGGGCCTTCTTATAGAAACACTTATTCCCTCAAGTTTTTTTTTTAAATTTCAAATTGAAGCCATTAACCTTCGTCTTATATAAGTTAAAGAATGTTAAATTTACTTGATCAAAGTTCAAGTACCTTCTGGTCTATCTGTGTTCATTCCTAAAGGATGTGTTGTTGTTTTCAATAGAAGACCACAGGTGCACATATATAAATATACACATTTTCCCCTGTTCTCTAGCAACTGTTGATTAAAACCAAATCTTGAATAGTTATTACACATGCTTCCTGCATGTGGTGTGAAGTACTGATTGAAACATTTTGCTAATATGGAGCATAAATGTATACACTTAACATCTTTGCTGAATTAATAGCTCACAACATGATGATTTAGACTGGTGTTGCATATATAGATACTAGCACAATGTTGCTGACACCTCTGCACATTTCCACCTTTTGTGACAATATGCAGTTTCTTGACCAGTCCTTTAAGACACCGGAAACATTTTAAAAAAATCTTTATGATGCAGCATATCAGCAATGGTATACCAAAGTCTGGTGTGTGTGTGTGTGTGTGTAAATCACTTCCCCTGCCTTTGTCGAGGAAAAAAGTGTTCACCTTCTGATATCCTGAAGTGGCTCTTATTAAGACACTTTGTAATATCAGAAATTCAAAATGGAAGGAGCCTTGACAGCTGCAAAACTATCACACATGCTGGAAATGGACAAACCAGAGTTATTTTTCCCACACCAAAAAAGTAGAAGCCCCAGACAAGGTACTTTCAGAAAGGTAGAAGAAGGGACATTCTGAGGACAGTTTGGTTCACTCCAGCAATTGCACCCTGTGATTGCCAGAAAAAAGAGGGAACCAAGTCACTGCAGCAGACCAAACAGTGGGACAAATGCCCATCTGATCACCTGGGAAGTGTTGCTGTCAGATCTTCCATAAATCTGTCAGAGGTGTGACGACGCCACTTTATTTACCATTTGCAGTCTGATGTCTGATGGATACATCTAATAATCCTGTCTGAACATGTGTACTTTAAAGTCTTGATTGCACAGAACTTGTGAAATCATACAGGTGTCCACAAGTGAAGAGCACGTGGGTGTGCTACATAAAAGTTATTCAGATATGGCCAGTGGATATGCTGGCTGTAGAATTCAGAGAATTGTAGTTCAAACTGTAACTTTTCCAAGCTCTGAAACTATCTTATCCAATGGCCATCCAAATCTGCTTCAGGTGTAGTAGCCCATACCTCTGTTTTACCATTACAGTCGTCTTATCCAAATCGATGCCAAAATGTGCAGTGGCAAAGAGTTGTATATATTTTATTTATTTATTTATTGTATTTATACCCCGCCTATCTAGTCATTTCGACCACTCTAGGCGGCTATATATACACACTCTCTGTAAGGATGCCAAAGAAAGCACACTGACTAGTTTGTGCTGGGAGTTAAGAGGAGTATTTGTACAATCATTGCTTGCAATGGACTGGATGCTATCCCATACCTTTTCACATGGATATAATGGGTCCTGGTCTAACTGTTCTACCTTGAGTGTGGCCATTGCTTCTTGGATTGCTCAGTATGGCACACATGTTGTAACATTACTGTTTTGTTTCTGTTTATTTTGTATGTTTGCTTATACTATTATTATTTGTAATATGCCCTTACTAAGTTATTAATTTCTAGCTAGTCTCCTTTTACTTTTGTTAGCGGCCTTAAGTTGTACTGTGCAAATTAATTTATGTATTTTATCTTAAGGACCTTTTTCTTTGGTCAGGAGACTAAGAGGTTTTTTGCTCTCCTTTCTCTGCTGTGGAGGGCAGGGTAAGGGCTGTCTGTTGTTGCCAGGTAGGGGAGGTGTTATTATGGTGGGGTACAATATAATTTTGATGGTGACGGGTAGGGTAGGTGTATGGTAGGGGGAAATATGGTGCTGAGGGGGAATGTAGGCTTTTACTGGTGGAACCCGTTCTTGATGGTTTGTATTGATTCCGGGCTCTAATGTTCCCTCCCTTTGACAGGTGCAAGGTAACCAGTTCAGTCCATTGCCTCCTGCTCTGACCTTCTTGTTGTTGAATGTCAGGTCAGTCCAGAATCCCACTGACTGCTGATCTGATTGTGGATGAAAGGGCTGACCTGGCATGTATAACAAGAGACCTGGGTGGGCACTGATGAGGGGGTAGTCCTTTTCCAGATTTGCCCTCCAGGTTATTCCATCCAATATCATGGCATACTGGAAGGGTTTAGCAACATTGTCCTCACAACCCAGCACTGTCCCTGCTGCAGCTGATGGACTTTGTCTCTCTCTGCTGTGTTGTTGTGGTCCCCCAGGCTTGTACTCCTGAGGACATTAACATTTATGTGGAGGCTTTAGTCACTAGTCTGGCCTTAGACTTCATGGATGCCTTGAGATCCATGGGGCTGTCCCAAGGGGTGTATAGTCCTACACATTTGGCAAGTTATATGCTTGACTTGGTATTTCTGACTGGCCAGGCAAGAAAGATTTGAGGTTTACTAGGATAAATTCACTTGCCTTGTTACGGTTGGCTCACCACCTGCTGAAATTCAGCCTTGCAATGGCAATCCACCACCCTCGTGCGGAGATGGGACCCAGTAGGATGGTCTGCCCGTGTAGAGGGGTGGCATCCTGTGCCTCAACTATATATATATCTACACATGAGCGATTCACAGCCTATTTTTGATTGAGGCCATGGTGATATTTCTTACCGAGATGTCTAACACGCCTTCTTTTCTGATTATATTGGGTCAATTTCAGCCTATAATTCCTGATGGTGCAGACGAGATGCTTGCATGATCTAGGACTTCCTTGTTAGACCCATGCCCCTTCTGGCTTTTAAAAAAGAGGATACAGTTGAATGGCCCACCCAGATCATAAACTCCTGCTCCCTGAAAAAGACAATGATCTGGTCCATTCTTTAAAAAGCCAACTTGCCGACAGATTATCTAAACAATTATCGCCCTGTCACTAATATAAAATTCATGGGTAAATTGATTGAAGATGGTAGCTCACCAGTTTCAGGAATTCTTAGAGGATACTGATAGTCTTGATCCATTTAAACTGGGGTTCAGGCCATGCCAATTCTCATCACTCTGCTAGATGGCCTGTTACAGGAGGTGAACTAGGGGAGTGTGACTCTGTTGCTTCTCTTGGATCTCTCAGTGGTCTTTGATATAGTTGACCACAGCATCCTTGATTACTAGGGCAAGATGGTCCAGCTTGAGGGTGCTGTTTTGTCCCCATGGGTCTTACAATGTGGTGCCCCACAGAGGTCAATCATCTCCCCATTGCTGTTCAATATCTATATGAAGCCGCTGGGGGAGATCTTTCAGAGATTTGGAGTGTGCTGTCATCAGTATGCCGATGACATGCAATTACCTCTCCTTTTCATCTTTGGCAGGGGAAGCTGTGCAGACCCTGGAGTGCTGCCTGGTCATGGCCATGGACTAGACAAGGGCTAATAGACTGAAGTTGAATCCTGACAAGATGGAGATGCTGTTTTTAGAAGGGGCCCCTGAAGTCCTAGAAAGTGACTTTCTTCCTGGTCTTTTTAAGGGCAAATTTCCCCTGAAGGATTAGGTTCATAATTTGGGAATGCTCCTGGACCCGGCTCTCTTGATGGGCCTAACTTTCAAGGCAGTTTGGAGGTTACAGCAAGTGCAAAATGCAAAAGCAGGGTTGGTTTCAGGAACATCAAAATATGATAAAATCTCCTGTCCTTTCCTGGTCATACCAGCTACCAGTATGATTCTAAGCCAAGTTCAACTGCTGTTAATGTTGACATACAAAACCCTGAATTGTTTAGGACCTTGCTACCTGACAGAGTGCCTCTCACTCAGATCAACCTCCCATCCCACCCACACTTTCCAGTCTCTGGTGCTACAGATGGCCACCCCAAGAGAGGCCCAGGAATCTATACCTAGGAAATAGGCCTTCTCAGTGGTGTCCGCCTTGCTGAGGAACTCTCTTCTGGTGAAAGTGTGTTAGGCCCCCACCCTCCTTGGCTTTAGAAAGCAAATTCAAACATGGGATTTCACTTTGGCCTTTGAAAGCCTTATCCCTATTTAATTTAACCAATTATTTAATTATTTGACAGCTCTATGTTTATTGTTTAATTGATGATGATGATGCCACCATCCTGGGTGTTATGTAGTGTTTCTTTAGATATACAGTAATTGAGGTTAGAGAGGGTTTTATTTTCTATATGCTGTTTTAATTTACGTTCTTTTCTATAAACTGTTTAATTTTATGTTTATATCTGTTGTAAGCCAGCCAGAGTACTAGCTTTTCACTAGAAGGGTGGGGGTAGAAATTCAGTTAATAAATAACCATCCCACTTCCCTTTGCTGTGCTACTTTGAATACTATAATACTGTGCTGTTCATAAACATCTCTAAAAGTGGAATTAGGATGATAAAAAAAGGGAAAACAAGAGGAAAATGGAATCAGAAAGCTAGTATATCTAATAAATGGTAGGTACTGTGAGAAGCTGGATAGTTGAATGGCTTAGGTATCTGGCTCCAGAACCAGAGGTTGGGAGTTAAATTCCCCATTGTGCCTCCTCTAAGTAGAGACAGCCTGTTTGGCCTTGGGCAAACTGTACAATCCCAGTGCACTCCCAGAAGAAGGGAATGGTAAGCCACTTCTGAGTAGTGTCTACCTGGAAAACCCTGAAAAGGGTCACCATACGTCAGAATTGACTTGATGATACATGATTATTGTTGTTGTTTTGTGAGAAGGATTAAAAACAAGATAGCTGTAGTCTTAGCAATGTCTAGAAAGAGGTAGACAGACAGCAGACAAATATTTACCTTGTGAAATTCAACCTTTCTCTTTAACAGCCCCCATTTCTGTGCTTCCCACACCCTGTTTTCACTTTCTGATATCTCTCCCTGTGCTTCTATTCTTTCCCATTTTGCAGTCCCAGCAGTCTTCATCACTGCCCCCTTCCCATGCCTCTACCCCCTTCTCTTCCTCCCCCCGATGTTCCTCCCAATGTCCCTGTATCTGTTCCCTTACTTTTTCATCCGTTGAGTTCTACTGTGCTGCAGATTCCTTTGCTTCTCTCCTTAGATCAAAAGGAGTAGGTGTTTGTGTTCTAGAGAAGACGGACTGATATTTAATTTTTTCAAATTTAAATCCCACTTTTCTGCCAAAAATGGCACTCAAGGCTACTACTAATAACAAAATACAAACATAAACAATAAAGGTTCTACAGTATTAAAACATACAAATCAAGCAATTAAGTGCACATCAACTCCCAGAAATCCTGGCCATCACAGGTAGTGGTGGAAGTTTCTGGGAGTTTTAGTCCAAGAACATGTGGAAACCCATGACAGGGAACCATTGCCCTATGGGATTAGATCAGAAGTCCATCTACGGCAGCACTCCTCTAAATAACGGCCACATACAAGAGTGGAGGGGAGCTCATGAACATGGCAGAATTGTGATGGCCCTTCCCTCTTATTTGAAAAGATTTGCTTAGCTGCCTTTAACTGTTGCTAGATATAACCTGTCTTGTAAGAATTTACTGAATACTTTTTAATTACACCAGTGCTCACAGCCATAATCATATATTGCGGCAATGAGCCTCACAGGGTCTTATATTAATTTTTGTTCCAAAAATGCATTAGGGCTCATTTTCAGGGGATATTTTATTTTTTTCATGTACAACAATCTACATTTATTCAAATACAGTCATGTCTTCTTCTAGTTGCTGCACAATGCTGCACAACAGTGGAGGGGAAGGTTTCACTTGACTGGGGCTTATTTTTGGGGTAGGGCTTATATTACGAGCATCCTGAAAAATCATATTAGGGCTTGTGTTCAGGTTAGGTCTTACAGTATTTTCGGGGAAAGGTAGTTTTGCATCCACACTATAGATTTTTGTCTCCTCCCCTATAAACATGATAGTATCTTTGAGATATGACATCCAGAACATCATTCATTGTTCTGTATGTGAAAGAGAAATTTTGAAGGATGATGCATTATTGAGAGACTTTTACTCAGTATTATTCACGAATATGAATCTACTCAAGCTGGTTCCAGGCTTTTCATGCATTTCTTGATCTGCCTTTGATTGTGGGACTTACTATTCATAGGAGGACTAAACCTGTGAGGAGGGCCTGGGCCTGGATGATATGGGTGCAGGCATCCACATGGCTTTGGATGAAATTTTACCTGCCCTTGGTGCCATGTTGCAGCAACAGCTACAGAAAAATGAAATGTGGCAGAATACAAATAACCAAGCTGGAATTTTAGTGGAAAATGGAAGATCGTTGGCATGATAAGGGAACTGTGTACAGTACTTAAGAATATGCAGATTAATATGCAGATAAGCATTACCGACATGGTGGTGCTGCGGGCTAAACCGCAGAAGCCTGTGCTGCAGGGTCAGAAGACCAAGCAGTCATAAGATCGAATCCACGCGACGGAGTGAGCTCCCGTCGCTTGTCCCAGATCCTGCCAACCTAGCAGTTCGAAAGCATGTAAAAATGTGAGTAGATAAATAGGTAGCACTCTGGTGGGAAGGTAAGAGCGTTCTGTGTCTAAGTTGCACTGGCCATGTGACCACGGAAGATTGTCTTCGGACAAACGCTGGCTCTATGGCTTGGAAACAGGGATGAGCACCGCCCCCTAGAGTCGAACACGACTTGACAAGAATTGTCAAGGGGAACCTTTACCTAAGCATTACTGAAACTAAGCTTTCAGATTTGATTAAACAGATCAGAGTAAAACAGAAGAAAATGTATATTTTAAACTTTTATTTGAGCACTAATACATCACATGTGTACAGATGAAAGGCACAAGGTCTTTTAAAGGGGTGCTATGGGCCAAAAGATAATCTTGTCCAGTCTGCTGCTGCATAATATAATGAACTCATCAGCTTCAGTATGTTTTGAAAGATTTCCTGCCTATACCATTACTACTGTCAAAGTTTAATTAGTGATCTTGTATTTTATCTTTACAGATATTAATTAAACTGCATTTATCCTGTGCTTCCTAAATACATTCTAACCAGCATGAAAGTCACAAAGCCTTTCAGAGTACATTTTAAAATTGCATATTTTCTTACACTTTTCTTTCCTCCTTTAACAGGCCTGTGGTAAAGTCCTTGAAAGAAACTGGGTTAGTAGAACCAGAATTTTTTGAAGAAGTCACCATCTACTTCAGTGACATTGTGGGCTTCACAACCATCTGTAAATACAGCACCCCTATGGAAGTTGTGGACATGCTAAATGATATGTACAAGAACTTTGATCATATTCTTGACCATCATGATGTCTACAAGGTGACTAGATTTGAGAAGACAGCATACAAAGCTAGATAGAATTACTGTGCTGAAAGAACTAGGGAGCAGAGTATTACTACCAATCTTTTAAGAATGCAAAAGAAGGGTAAGAAGTATTTTTCTCTGATGTGTTCTCTGTTAAAACTATTGTGCAAAATATGGGAATAAATTACAGTTGTTTCTCTTAACATTTTAAATGTGGATGGCTTTTGACCAGCCATGTAGGAGAGCTCCCCCCAAATGCTGGGATGACACACTCTGCCCATCCTAGATTTTAACAGAACAGTTCTTCCTCTGTGAGAAAATCATCTAAACACACAGTTGCAAATACCTGCATAAACATGTTTCTTAACTGAAAGGTGCTTAACATTCCTTCTTGCCTAAGGAGAAATAAAATCCCATGATTATCTGATAGATTAAAAAACAAAAACAAAATACCTGTTCTGACAGGTAAAGATAGTAACTTAGGGTCATATTGGTTGTTGTGGGTTTTCTGGGCTGTTTGGCCATGTTCTGGAGGTTTTTCTTCCTAACGTTTCGCCAGTGTCTGTGGCCGGCATCTTCAGAGGACAGGAGTCAGAACTCTGTCTGTGCTCTGGGTCATGTCTCAACAGGTGGAGACCATCGGAGATGCATACATGGTAGTGAGTGGTTTACCAAAGAGGAATGGCAACTGTCACGCAGTGGACATTTCCATGATGGCACTGGATATACTCAGCTTCATTGGCTCCTTTGAACTCCAACATCTTCCAGGCCTTCCTATATGGATTCGAATAGGAATTCACTCTGGTATGGAATAACATATCAAATATACAGCAAAGAATAATCATCCAATGGATGTCAATTTCATCTTGAATTTTTCAATAAACTGACAGTAGTAGTGGGTTATAGTATGGCATTATACATATTTTTTCCCAGCCATTTTGGGTGGTTTAAAAAAAATTAATTGGAAGGTATTTTTGGAGGAAGAATATAGCTGACAAAAATAAATTATCTAGTGTGTCTGTATAATCAATACATTATACAGGAGATGAATTTTATTTAATAACATGTGCTTGAGAAATACAGTGTACCTGCAAAGGAATGAAATCTCAAGGGACAAGGTCTGAACAATGTAATCAAACAGCTGTTTTGTTACACTAAAATGCATTTCTGTAAACTTGCTAGGGAATCTACTTTAAAATTAATTAAGACAGATTTCCAGCACCACAAAGTTAAGCACTTCAGGAAAATTGATATTTTCTCTGGCACTTGTTTTAATAATTGACTGATCTCAGAACAGCTCAACAGATGGGAAACCCTGACATCTGACCGTTCAGCCTGGAAGCAGGTGGTGCATCATGGCCTCTTCCATTTTGAAGAGACACTTATTCAGCAGGCCGAGGCAAAGAAGCAGTCCCGAAGCCAGCAAAGTCAGGGAGCTGGACAGGGGACAGATTGCATTTGTCTTCAATGTGGAAGGGATTGTCACTCTTGAATTGGCCTTCTCAGCCACACTATATGCTGTTCCAAGTCCTCCATGCTGGAGGAGGCAAAGGAGGGAAGCTAGGGCACCGGCGGAAGACCTGAGAGTGCAAAGAACAATGACAAACTGCCAAATTGGCACTTTGTTGTCTTTCCTGCAACAGACTGGCATGGCTATTCGTCTAGAAGACATATTTGCAAGAGAGGGATATGGAAGAATGAATGAAGTTGAAACAGGAGGTAGAGCTGAGAATGAAATCAAAACAGAAGTAGAGCTGAGCACCATATCTGGTGCAACTGGCCAGGTGACTTAGCAAATAAATTCCTTTGGTTTGTTGCTACACAGCATCCCCACTCCTTGTGAGGGCCTACATCTTCAGTTTTAAGTCTTTGAATTTAATAGCTACAAGCCTATGCTAGGGTACAGTAGGATACCAGGAAAATCTATGTCACCGGACCGTCTTTAGAGCACATTGCAGTAATCTATATGAGATATTACCAGTACGTGCTTACTGGAAGGACAGATCCTGAAGCTGAGGCTCCAGTACTTTGGCCATCTCATGAGAAGAGAAGACTCCTTGGAAAAAACCTTGATGTTGGGAAAGTGTGACGGCAAGAGGAGAAGGGGACGACCGAGGATGAGATGGCTGGACAGTGTCTGCGAAGCAACCAACATGAATTTGACACAACTCCGGGAGGCAGTGGAAGATAGGAGGGCCTGGCGTGCTCTCGTCCATGGGGTCACGAAGAGTCGGACACGACTAAACGACTAAAAGATGACGACAATGTGTAACTGTCATGAGACTCCGCTTGTCCGGGTAGGGCCATAGCTGGTACAATTTCCGCAGCTGAAAGAGGGTGTCCCTGGCCACCAAGTCCACCTGGGCTTCCAGAGTTAGACTGGGGTCCAGGAGCACCTCCAGGCTGTGGACTCTGTCCCTGAGGGGGAGTGTAACCCCATTCAGGGCAGGGAAGTGGCCATCCAACCTGTCCGACTGAATTGTTCAAATTTTTCTTCCTCTTCGGGGGGGGCAGCGTTATGAAGCCTGTTGCAGCAAAAGCAACAGTCTTATGACATTAAGTATCAAATATATTGGGATAGGATATATGGACTGCAGTCTACTTCATCAGATGTATGAAATGCCATCCTGAGTTACAGACATAAAAGCACACATGATGAATGGGGGGACAGGACAGAGGGAATCTAAAAAATGGTGTCAGTTTCTAACATGTGCTTGAGATGCTGCAGAGCTGTCTGTCCACATATGAATTCCCCATCTTTGTCTTAATTCCTTCTCTGTGTGTCTTTTCAGGTCCATGTGCTGCTGGTGTAGTTGGGATTAAAATGCCTCGTTACTGCTTGTTTGGAGATACAGTGAACACAGCTTCAAGAATGGAGTCTACAGGTTTACGTAAGAATATAGATTCATTTCTACACACTGTGATGAAATCCAATGCTTATTTTCTAGATAAAAACTATTTCACCATCATGACCTAGATTGGGTAACATCAAACGAGTTACTGTACTTTTACTGCCTCTTCTTTTTCTTAGTCATACAGGTAACTTCCTTTTTGATTCTAGATACTCAGAATTACTTCAGAATAATCAAGCTAATTGAAATCAAAAGGTCCACTCCAAGATTATTTTAAGAAGTATATTAGTTCCTATCTGTAGTGTATTGCTCTGATGTTTGAAAGATAAAAGAAGCTGAATCATACCATTTTGATTAATAGGAACTCATGAATATGAGCTGAATAACAACTGTAAAGTAGACTGGCAACACAAAAGAAAAGATAAATGTATGTAAAAAACCTTTCAAATTTCTGTTGCTTGCCTGTCTGTAGCTCTAAGAATTCATGTAAGTGGTTCCACCATTGCTATCCTCAAGAGGACAGACTGCCAATTCCACTATGAAGAGCGAGGAGAAACATATCTGAAGGTAATATACACTCACATCACACATTCATAATTTTAAAAGGTCTCTAGAACTATTGTTTATCTGAAGAGCTCATGTGTTTTAAATTACTAATTGAAGACAAAGGTACTTGCTAAGGCCACCCTCAAGTTTCACAACTGAGTAGCGATTAAAACATGGAGGTTTTAAATTCAGGTCCAACACTCTAACAACTGTACTGCATTGTCTTGTGAAGTTTTGTTGATTTCACTGGATTTATCTATGCACAACTGTACATAGTGCTATTCTAATCTCCATTTGCTAATTCTATCTTCTGAAATATTTACAGCATGTACTACTTATTTCAGTTTAGAAAACTTACTATGAACAGACAATAAGTTACTTCACATTCCTGTTATATAAATAATAGAAAGACATTTTATTTAAATTTTGTATGTCTGGGCCTTGATAATGTCAGTGGAATAGCCATTTTATAAACTCTTGAATGGGTCAATGATATAAGACCTCACAATGCTGTGATTGTGAGTGACTGTATTCGGTTGTCAGCTCTCCAAGCCAGAGGACGTGGTTGTAAGAATGTGAAAATTAATGGGATCTGGTCTGTACATCCAGAATGTAGATAAATAGGCATAACCAGTTTTGTATTTGTGGGACCTCAGCCCCTATTAAAGGCAGCAAATTAGCTGGCTGGTTTACAAAACAAGTTTTTCTGCACCCTGTTACTGGTATATTTTTACCTTTGTCTCAAAGGGAAGTTAAATACTATCTCCAATGATAAATGAAGTATGGAAGGCAAGCCTGATGCGTATCTAGAGATATTGGATGTAGAGTGGGCTTTTTCTTCTTCATTTTGTCCTGAATTAGAGGGTTTTCAAATATGTAATCCTTATGGCTAAGTTTGACTGAGTCTTTTTTGAGAAGCAGTGCCATTTGATAATTGTGTTGCTCAAAGCAATCTTTTTGCTGTTGGCAGTATGGATCTTTGTGATGCTTGTGGGGTGCAGGAGACTTGATCATCTCCTTTGGGACTGTATGTGGCACTCAGGGCTAGAGTATTTATTTATTTATGTTTGTGTGTGTCTGTGTGCGTGTCTTTTCTGAGTAGCAGGGAGTTTTAGAAATTTGGGAACGAGTCTAAATCACATTGTGGAATCCTACATTGCTTCATGTTCTTTGTGGGATTGTGATTTAGTTGGTCAGTTGTGTGATGGTTTTTAAAATTGTTCTTCAGACATTTTTAGATGTCTGTAGGTGGCAGTAATAGGGCTTTCTGATCTTGCTTTGGCATTAAATATCATAAGACACACTGTTTATATATTACAGCATTGCTCATTTTTGTACAGGGTCAATAACAGGTACATGGAAATAAGGTATATGCATAATGGGTTTTCTAGGTTTTAATATGTACTGTACAATGTAATGTAGTGATGATCACTAGAATGTAGTCTCTATTCTAACCTCAAATTTATTATTTTGTCATTTTATGTTAGGGCAAAGGAACTGAGATTACTTACTGGTTGACAGGAGTTAAGGACCGGCAATATAATCTTCCAACACCTCCTTCTGTGTAAGAGTCTCTTTGATTAAGGGCTGGGGATTAATGTCCACATCAGTGTACAATGTCTAGAATATCTTCCATGTTTCCTTTCTGTAATATGCATGTATGTTATAAGCATAAGCATGATCATAAGCACAACAAATACTGGGCGAGGGTGTGTGTGTGTGTGTGTGTGTGTGTGTGTTTGTGTTTGTGTGTGTGTGCGCGCGTGCGCGCGCCCCACCTTTTTCCCTAAAGGGACCAAAGGCAGGTCCTTTTTCTCAAAAGCGCAAAAAATACTGGGGGAGGGGGTGTATGTGTGTGTGTGTGTGTGTGTGTGTGTGTGTGTGTGTGTGTGTGTGTGTGTGTGTGTGTGTGTGTGTGTGTGTGTGTGTGTGTAAACTTGCATTTGAAAGCTAACTAAAGTACAAAAAGAAGCATACATATATATTCTCAGCAAAGAAGAATGCCAATTTAAAGTATCACATATCTTCTGCTGTACATTGTGTCTATCAAGAAAGAGTTGACAAGAATAGCACTAATGTATGTAGGGATGGTGCCAGGAAGAGAGAGGCTCTTTCAGCTGAGACATAGGAATTGCAATCTCTCTAGCACAGCAGTTCCAAACCTAGTTTCCCCAGATGTTCTTGGACTAAAACTCCTAGAAGCCTTCACCACTAGCTATGGGGGCCAGTATTTCTGGAAGTTGTAGTCCAAGAACACCTGAGGACCCAAGGTTGGCAACCTCTGCTCTAGCAAGTAGGTAAGTGCTCTCTGTCTTTTTTTTGTTGTTGTTGTTGCAAAAGATCCTCCACCACCCCACCCATACTTTTGTTGTTTAGTCATTTAGTCATGTCCGACTCTTCGTGTCCCCATGGACCAGAGAACGCCAGGCCCTCCTATCTTCCACTGCCTCCCAGAGTTGGGTCAAATTTATGTTCGTCACTTCGGTGACACTGTCCAACCATCTTGTCCTCTGTCACCTCCTTCTCCTCTTGCCTTCACTCTTTCCCAACATCAGGGTCTTTTCCAGCGAAGCTTCTCTTCACATGTGGTGGCCAAAGTATTGGAGCTTCAGCTTCAGGATCTGTCCTTGCAGTGAGCACTCAGGTTTGATTTCCTTTAGAATGGATAGGTTTGTCCTCTTTGCAGTCCAGCGGACTCTCAAGAGTCTCCTCCAGCACCACAGTTCAAAAGCATAAATTATTTGGCAGTCAGCCTTCTTTATGGTCCAGCTCTCACTTCCATACATAGCTACTGGAAAAACCATAGCTTTGACTATGCGGACTTTTGTTAGCAAGGTGATGTCTCTGCTTTTTACGATGTTGTCTAGGTTTGTCATTACTTTCCTCCCAAGAAGCAGGTGTCTTTTAATTTCGTGGCTGCTGTCCCCATCTGCAGTGATCATGGACCCCAAAAAGGTAAAATCTGTCACTGCCTCCATATCTTCCCCTTCTATTTGCCAGGAGGTGATGGGACCAGTGGACATAACATTAGTTTTTTTGATGTCGAGCTTCAGACCATTTTTGGCGCTCTCCTCTTTCACCCTCATTAAGAAGTTCTTTAATTCCTCCTCACTTTCTGCCATCATAGTGGTATCATCATTCTGGTTCAGCATTCATCCAGTCCTGACTTTCACATGATGTATTCTGCATATAAGTTAAATAAGCAGGGAGACAATATACAGCCTTGTCGTACTCCTTTCCAAATTTTGAACCAACCAGTTGTTGGAACCAACCATACTACCACTCAGTGATCTTCTGGATCAAGTGAGAAATTTATGATCCACAGAGACAGAAAGAAATGGGGAAGAAGTGGTGGTCAGAAGTCATTTTGTAAAAATACCACAGTTGTATCTTTTCTTTCTTGCAAACTGGTATGCCATGGACAATGCTATTCCAAGTAATATATTACTTGCTACCTCTTCCTCATAGCCTCTGTGACCATCTAGACTGCACTGGAACATAGAGCAGCATAAGCTGCAGCCAACAGCTGTATATGTCTGATGAGCTATGGGATATATGTTCACCTATTCAGTTTATGAGGGCTTTGCTTTATACTCTTTTCTTACTGAATCACTGGGAGAAGTCATTTTAACTAACTTTTGTTGTTGTTTTAGTGTAGGGTACTCACATTAATATACTTTTAATATTTGGTTTCAAGTGTTTTCCCCCTGTATTTACACTGTATTTCTTTATTATGTTTGTGAACTGTCTAGAACCTTTTCTTACAAAATAGATGCATGCATGCATGCATGCATGCATACATACATACATACATACATACACAGTCAAACTTTTCTCTTTAATACTTCTACTGATCAGTAAGAATTGTTGAATTGTGCCCTCTTGCTACCATCTTATATACAGGACATCTAATTTTTGTCTCTGCCAGAAAATTTTCTAAACATCTACAGTTAACACATTTCACCATAAGATTCTGATCATGCTTATTTGATGCTCTCAAATCATCCTGTCTACTGTCTATTTTGCCCTGCACCCAGCTTTTTGTAGTATGTTGCCTGCTGAAGAAATCTGGAAATCCTGAAGGCTTGCAGGGTTTTTGTGACCTCTTAGTTGATCTAAAAATATGTTTACCCCAATATGGATTTAGGAAATTGCCTGTAATTGTTCTGTCTGCTGACAGATATCAAGGTAGTGTTTTGCCTCCTTCCCCTGCTGCAGAGTTGTCAAACCGCCATCTAAATGATGGACGTGACAATTTTAGCAACTTAACTCAGTCCCTCCCAGAAGTCTATCCTGACCAAGTTCATCAATTTGATTGGAGAACATTCCCCCTTCCCTGTCCAGATCCATAGAATTATTGAGTCCAAACACTGAAGTTTGCACACTTGGTGGCATTTTGTTTGGTGCTAATAAAAATACATTTCCCAGCTATGGATTTTTTTTAAAAAGTCCAACAGTATGCATGGAAGTACTGCCATCTTTCAGACAGCCAAACTGACTGGATTAGAAAGAAACTACTGTTCTGAGCATTAGAGGAATCAAGATATTGTTTAGATTACTAAGTGTCTAGCAAGTTACTTAAAAAGTACACAGACACACACATTTGTTTTTGGTACCACTCTGCTTGCTATGCATGATCGTATTTGCTAAGACTGCTTTTTTTAAAATGCCAGAAATGTATAGTAAAGCTGAAGAAAACAAGAATAGATTATTTTTACCTTGTACTGTCAAAGAAACTGCAGTTGACGGATGCTCCTACCCTTGTAGCTCCTGGAAGCTTGGGGATCTTCCAGGCCAGACTAAAAGGTTTATGACTAAGAATCATAGTAGACATACCATTGTAATTTAAAACTTTTTCCCTTTGCAGGGAGAATCAGCAACGTTTGCAAGTTGATTTTGCAGAGATGATAACAGAGTCACTAAAGAAGAGGGAAACTGAAGAATTCCATGTGCGAGAGATTTCACACATAGCTAGTTATCGCAGAGGCACTCTGGAATATTTGCAACTGGTTACTACAGAAAGCCCCAGCACCTACCTGTGAAACAGGATAAACAGCAAGATTCAAGAATCCTAAAATACTACATCTAAATATAAGATAGATATTTCATACATATATCACATATTTGCAGTATTGGGCAGAGCTCAGGTTGGTTGGCTAAGGAGAGAAATTTGACCCTCCTTTCAAATATTGCTTAAAGTTAATAATTTACAGAAAGGATATTCCTTCTGTCACAAGGCAAACTCAAATAGCCCAATACAAACGTGCATCTTGACTAACTGGAAACTTCACAGTGAACTAATTGCTGGAATGGGGGCACAAAGTAACTCCCATCACATCCAGTTTGTTGTTCGTGGGACAAAACAGGAAGATATGATGAGACCAATGGAGTCGTCTTCATGATGTGGGAGTTTTGTAGTTTTCTGCCCTACTTTAAAGCATTGTAGTTGAGAAATGCTGTGCCAATCCCTTGCTTGCAATGGCCTCCACATTGCAATGGATAGCCATAGCTAGAGGGAGATCTGATGCAGCTTAGAGGTATGTGCAGACTGCTTCCCACAGAAGCCATTTTGACCCTATAAAAAGTATTTCAATAAATGAGAAGGAACATAAGCAAGCACTGAGTGTACAGTAGTTTGAAACTTTTTCTATCTGAGGTTATTTGCCCATATTATTATACTTCTTAAAGTTAAAACCATATATGTCTTTAACTGAGCCTCTAATCTTTAGGTAATTTCTTTCTCTTTTTTAATCACAAGCACCTGTCTTTTATTACAGAAACAACTTAAAATATTTTTTTCTGTTATTTAAAATGTGTTCATCTGCTATCCATTTTCATGCTTATAATTTACCATGATTTATTTTACATTTGTTTGGAAACATGAATATCACTGTATTTGAGAATAAAATAAATGCTTTTGGATAAAGTCATGGATATTTTGTTGTGTCAACTCTCACACTGCTGCAGATTTCATTTAGAAGTGCTAATCAACAAATCTAAGTTAATTTGCTACAGATGAAATTTGCAAGCATGCTAGTCAACAAATCTAATTTATATTATTTCTCTTCCTGTGCTGCCAGGAGGAATATCTAATACACTATAACCTGCAGGGTCCATCTTGCCGCTAAGTGTTTTGGCATCTGTATGAAATTCTTGGGCAGAGCTGTCAATAGATTTGCATTAAGATACCAGCAATATAGAAATGGTTCTCTACCCCCTTCCCTTTTCATTTTATTCCAAGGAAATTATAGAGGCTCGGAATACTTGTGCAGGCCAAGCAGCTGGCTCTTCACATTACCTGATATGAATCCAAAGTCTCTGCCATGCCATCTACCACCAGACAACACTCACTGGTTTGATTGGCCAGACCTATTGATTATCACCCCAGAATACCTTATCTGTAGATCATTCTGACAAATGACTGCATTGTTCATCATAACAATACTAACTATGGGCCACATGCCTTAATCTTGCCATTGCTGAATTGTCCAAAGAGTGAAGTTGCAAAATGCCTTTTTAATGGACTTTCCTATCTAGAAGCACCCACAGTCTCTGGTCCTTGAAGCACAGTATGTGTTTACAATTTAGTGACTGAAAGAGAATGCTAACATTTAGGTGATCTTCCAGTAACCTCAACCAGTCCCCTTCCCTATCTTGGGAGTAAACACTGTAGTAACTGAGGCAGTATTTATCCAACCACTGTGAGGAATTTTGGGCATGGTGGTGCTTGTTCTGTTTAATGTGGCTGAAGTGTGACTTTGCAAGGTGAAAAGTAATTTGGTTGACCAGCAGTAGCACTGACAGGAAAGGAGAAGATGGCATTAAACTCTGCTTCCTTTTCTGCAGAGGAAGCAGAGGGGACATACTGGCGTGCTGTTAACACAGAGAGGATTAATTATATAGACAATACATTTAGCCAGTATATAGTTTTCATGTGCTACAAACAGTGATGCAGGTGGTGAAAGATAAAGATACAGATGACACTTGTGGAATGATTTGTCTCTTACCTTGCTTGCTTGTGTTTTATTCTTGCATTGCTAGTCATTGAGCTCAGGGTTATGTTGGACATTTGCATGAGCAGAATACCTGTAAGGATTCAAAGAACATATGGGTTAGCAATCTCTTCTTTGTATTTGTTCTGAGCCCAAAATGTTTGTGCAAAATGATCTCTTGCCATCTCTTGCATGGACAAATTTTGTCCTTTTCTAAGTATATGACATACCTAGAGAGATGTAACTCACATCACATGCTTTAGAATCTTAAGTACTGAAAGTGTATTTAACACTACTGAGTGGGGCTCAATAGTATTAAACAGTATATGTAAGGCATGCTTGAATTCTACTTTCCTTTGCCATGGGGTAGATAATGTTTGTCCATCTACTCAGTAGACTCTTGTGGGTTCAGTGGGAGAAATCTGACTCATTAGTCTTCTTTATTGTTATGTGGTGTGGGAGCAGAAACAAGGCGGAATAGCAGCTTCCCATTAGTTTCTATGGACGGAAAAGAGCAGATACGGATCAAATGGTTTTCAATGCATTCCTATGGGAAATGCAGATTTGACCTGAGAACTTTTTGACTTGAGAACCGCCTTCCAATACGGATTAAGTTCTCAAGTCAAGACCCCACTGTATTTGTTCTGAGCCCAGAATGTTTGTGCAAAGTGATCTCTTGCCATCTCTTGCATGGACAATTTTTGTCCTTTTCTATGTATATGACATACCTAGAGAGATGTAACTCACATCACATGCTTTAGAATCTTAAGTACTGAAAGTGTATTTAACACTACTGAGTGGGGCTCAATAGTATTAAACAGTATATGTAAGGCATGCTTGAATTCTACTTTCCTTTGCCATGGGGTAGATAATGTTTGTCCATCTACTCAGTAGACTCTTGTGGGTTCAGTGGGAGAAATCTGACTCATTAGTCTTCTTTATTGTTATGTGGTGTGGGAGCAGAAACAAGGCCTGATGTAGTTTAGGGTGTAGACAAGCTTACTCCTCCCCACAAAGCCCCCTATTTTTCATTCTTTCACTTGCAGCATTGTGCTGGTGGTCAATATACAATATGCACCTGTAACATTATGCTGGAGTATCCTGGTATACTCAGTTCTCATTACTTCCTTATAATCTCTAACCTTAGACTGCACCCTTAAACAGTGGGCATGGTCAAGAGTCAACATTTTAAATTGTTATACGAGTTCAGAAGAATTCTCCTTGGATTAGAAAGAAACTATGTCTCAATTGTTTCAGTTGATATGGACTGTTGCTTCAGCCACTGGGATGAAATATTGCAGCAATGTTTAACTAAGACAGCAGACAAGCAGCCTTGCTTCTTGCAAAGTCCAGCGTTCATTCTTTGACCCCAGATAATTTTTTAATTTTTCTAACAGGCAGGGTAATCCTGTGTAGGTCCATAAAACAAATACTTTTTTTTGGTGTGGATAGGCTTGCTCTGTGTTGGATCAGTTCCAGTGCATGTGATACCTGGAACCATCCAAAGCAAGCCTTCTGGTTTGAATTTACTAATACAAAGAATCTTTGTGGTGTGGTGGATAAGCTGCAGTACTGCAGTCAACACTGCTCAGAACCTGAGTTTGATCCTGATTGGGTTAAGTAGCCAGTTCAAGGCTGACTTAGCCTTCCATTCTTCCAATGCTGGTAAACTGAGTACCCAACTCACTGGGGTGGGGTGGGGTGGAGCAATCTGCAGCCTGCATAATTAAATTTCAAATTGCCCAGATAGTGCTTTAAGTGCTATGCAGCGGTATAAAAGCAACACACTTTAATACAGTATCATGAAGTGACTTCATATGCCAGTCACTTCAGGACACTGGCAAATTAATATTTTTCTTTGCTCCTCAGCAGAGGGGCAGGGAAAGTGATTAAAAAAAAAACACTGTATAATGTAATATAGCTGATATCCTGCATCAGTTATAAAAAAATTAAATATTTTTTCATTGCCTTATCTTAAAGGGTAGCTTGAGAAACCACCAACTGTTGAATCTGTGGCTTTGTCTGTGGGTAGTTTCTCAACAAGTCCTTTAAGAGAAGGCAAGGAAAAGTTATAAAACATTTTCTTGTAATTGATGCAGTGTGTTAGTGATAGTCCACAGAGTAAAAAAAAAACAAAAAACCCCACCCACTTTCCCTGACCCTCTGCAGAGGAGCAGTGGAAGTGATTAATTTGCCAATATCCTGAAGTGGCTCTCTCACTAAGCCACTTCATGAAATTGAGAAGAATGATTTCCATGTGAACTGTTGGGTTTGATTAGATTGGAATAGCTTGTCTTGATTAAGGCAAAGTGGTCCATGCCAACTCACTCCCTGTCACTAATGTAGCTGCACCCATATTTTTTTGGGTTAAGTTATTGAATAAAAACCTCTATACTTTAGGATTGTACAAAACCTTTCATTCTAATGGTTAAGTATCTTTCCTTACATGTAGGGAACAATAATTTATGTACTGAAAAATTATAGTTTATCATACTGTTTTGTCATCAATTCAAATACCTAACTTCATTTTATACATGACTGGAAATCAACAGGGCAGACGTCTCAGTTCAAAAATTAACTCTCAGAACCAACAAGTCTTTTTGGAGATTGTAAAACAAATTTTAAATAACTCAGAGAAGGGCAATCACTACTATCGTGTAGAATTATTATTATTCAAGCCACAAACATACATGTGTTGCATTTGCATTTCCTGCTTATTTGTATAACTATAACTTCGTAATCAAGTATTTAAGTCTGTAACATATTATTAAAGTATTTATAACATAATCCTAAACACTCTTTGGTATTTAATCAATACCATGGCAATACACTCTTGACATGGACTATTTGCTTCAAGGTTTCTAATCGGTGTTAAGAAACACATATTCAGAAAACAAGCAATCCCTGAATTCAGAAACATCTATTACTGAGGTGGATCATACCTTTTTGAAAAGACACCCACTCTTCATTTCTATACACCAAGAGGTGGACAAAAACCCATCTAAATAATGCATTTGGCAAGCCATTTGTTCACTTATTTGATGCATTTGAAATGTAGTAACTGATTGTGTGCTTGGTTTCTCACTTTCCAATACAGTACAACCTAAGATGCAACATATACTCTTTGTTCACTTCCTCTATTTTACTTCCACTTTCTTTTGACCACAAAACTGAAGCAAATCTGTCAAAACAGCATTAAATAGTTTTTAAAAAAGAATATATTCTTACATTAAAAATAATGTTTGATACATTTCTTGCTTGTGTCATGTGATGGCTGATAAACATCTATAAGTCCAGTTGCTTCAAATGTGATGCGTATTTTTATTTGTATTATTCTTATCTAAGTCCTACACTAATATCACAATATAACAGTTCAACTAAAAAGCTATTTCATAGACAAGAACATAAAGTCAGAGAACCACAGTATATGAACATTAATCTGTCATTTAATAAAGCAATTTATTACAGTGCAAATATGTGTTTTGGTTCATTGGAAAACAGAACATTTGTCACTACATATTGATCTAAGGGATAATATGTAGTGTATATGCTATTATTTATCTGTGGCATTTGAGTAAGAGAACACCAATGCTTCCTATGCATAATATCTGCAGTATACAAGGTTCCTTGTCTCACACATTCCATGTAAATTCAGCTTGGGGCATGTCTTGGGTCGAATATGAGTCCTGAATTAACGATCATATGGCCATCATATGAAGTTGCCAGAGGGAAATTGCAATGACAACATTGGGTTTGTGGCCAT